TTTTTTTTAATTTGGTTATTTTGTCCTTGATAGCGATTGCTCGATGTCCTTTGCCAACAAAGTTGCGGAGCTAGATAAAATCGTGATTAGAATGCTATTCGAGAGCTATGGCGTGGAGAAGTACGTCGATTCTCATATGGATGCAACAACCTATCTACTTCGATTCTTGAAGTACCGAGCACCCATTGAGGGAGAGAGCACGATGGCTTTCCCGGTCCACACGGACAAGAGTTTCATCACGATTCTATACCAGAATCACGTCTTTGGCCTTGAGATCCAGGCCAGAGACGGAGAGTGGATTAGCGTTGATTTCCTGCCAAACTCGTTTGTGATCATGGCTGGCGACACGTGCAAGGTGATTTATCGAGTCAATTTGGCATATATTGTTTTGAACTTTAGACTAGTTAAAATTAGTCCATTTCATATTTACTAGCATAATTTGTGAATATATTTAGATATACCATCCAATTCTCAATCTTTCATGTTCAATCTTTTTGTAAGTGTCCGCAGCCCACTAGCAATTCTATTATACAAATTGCGTATTGCTATAATTCAAATTCTTGTGTAAAACAATATGATCAGGTCGATCCATCATACATTTTTAACAAAAAATAATACTTATGCTACATATTAAATGTTATATATACTTTTATTTTTTAAGACATGATATTTTAGTTTAATATTACACAGATAATTTATTGAAAAGTATGGTTATCTTACATTAATAGACTATTGCTTAACAATACCTTAGTGATACATGTTTAATTCATGCAATTGATTGGACCTGTCAAGTGAAAGCCTAAATGGGACATAATCCTTGTAGCTATAGTTATGATTTAATTCATGCAATTGATTGCTTTGTTATTTTAATTATGTTTTGTTGCAAACATAGGCATGGAGTAATGAGCGGGTGCTTTCTCCCAGCCACAAGGTCACCTTGGACAAGGATGTAAAAGAAAGCAGATACACAATTGCACTTTTCTCTTTCCTTAACAACCTAATACAAACTCCTCATGAGCTTGTAGACGATAAGCATCCGTTGCGGTTTAAGCCTTTCGTACATGTCGATTTGTTGAAGTTTTACGATACGGATCGTGGTCGGCGATCCCAGAATATACTCAAGGACTTTTGTGGTGTTTGAACTTATTATATTGTTGGTACCTTTTAAATGTGGATTAATGTTTGTTTGTAACTTCTTTTTTTTTTTTTTTTTT